AGTAAAGAGGAGAAAAATGCACTGTCCTCATATGAAGACGTAGGGTCTCAGGAGGTTAAGACAATGTTCAGAGATTTGATTCAAATCGCACCACAACATTCTGTAGAATGTTAATTCCTCTCCATGTCTGTTGGCCACCATGTAAACTTAACTGTTCCATTACAGGCTTATGATGCATTCACTGAACTGCTTCACTGCAGGGGGAACACATTTGCTCAACAATAAGCATAACCACATCCTTGTTACTTTATCATTTGCTGGTAATCTAGTGGTTTACACAGCACAGATAAACAACAAAAGAACTTTCTCGAAAAAAATCTAATGTTATGCAATATAAACTTTAATCAGCTTATTTATTTGGGCATTTATTCAACAGACATGAGTATGAACCAAGCACAGTTTAAGTGGTGAGTTCAGGGAAACATTCTGATCCATCTGTTCATAGCACAAGTTTCTTGGGTTTACTTTGAATTAGTGGACAGGCTTTTTAAACTTAATCCCAATCTGAATGAGTTCAGCGCCAGTAATCTATCGTATGGCAGTTTTAAATGTGTGAAATAACCTCTCACATCCTCTCCTGTTGATATAACGTGAACACAACCTAACTTTGTTGGCGCACTTAGGAATTCTGATGGGGCGATCAATACAAAAACATCTATCTATCTATCTATCTATCTATCTATCTATCTATCTATCTATCTAATTACAGCCAAAAGGCCTCAACCACCCCCCCAAAGCACATCTGGATCCGAGATGCACCTTGCCTGTGTGTAATTATGATGAGTAAAATCTTGTAACTACAAAATATTCAAGCCCTTGCTGTTTAAATGCAAGGGTTGATGGGGAACGTCCCTTTTTTCACTTCCTGTCATGTGATCAGGCTCCAGCTTTTCACGTCTCGTCCGCTACTGATGCTTAAATTGTCCCTGACGTGAATGTGCACGGTGGCCTCTCTCAGTGTGTCAGCTTTGGGATGACCAGCATGTTCTCATCAAAGGCCAGAGAATTCAGAACTAAAACAAGAAAGTAGCATTACTGCAAATAAACTATCTACCAGTCTAAACTGTGGCTTTTTCATTTATTTATTTTTACCTGTGAACAGCTGGTTTTAGGTAAAGACAAGTCATTCACTGATATGTGACTTAAACATGTTGTTAGTTTTATATCTATATTTTAAGTCATCAGACTAATTATTAATGTCATAAATATTCACTGAGCTATTAAATCAAAGCAGTTTAAAAGTAAACAAAAACGTGTTAGCATATAGAATGGAATTTAATATTATTTTTGGTAAGGTAAATATCAATTATGTTATCAATGTTCAATCTAAAAACCTAATTAAGAAATAAAAACAAGCATTTAAGGAGTTGTCTGACCACAGCACTGTCCTGCGAGTCAGGAAAGCTAATTGTTATCTTTTGAGATTCTATTTTAAATAACTCATATTTGCATGATAGAGGGAGAAAAGATCAAACACTGAATATGTATCTTCCTCTAAACTTATCATGCTGCTGTGTAGCTATTTAGAATACTAAAAAGCAACCCAGTTCCATAACACACAGTTTTAGAAATAAACACGATGGTTGTGTGACAACTGCAAGAAACAAAGTCAACACATCGTTGTTTCAATATGGACATGTTTCAGGTGTATATTGAAAAAGAGGAAGGTGTTTGTTAGCTTGCACATAATCATTTTTCAGCCTACAGAGACATGAGTTGGAAACACTACAGTCCCAAGGCGCCCGCATCCACAGAGAACTTTGTGTTGTTAACCTAATGAGCCACAGGGGGATGCTAGTGTCCCTGTAAATTGATTTGGTCACTGATACATGATACATGTCACCACACTCTGTGTGCCACACATCCATAAAGCAGCTGGACTGATGTTAGTGCATAAAAATTCAGACATTTTACAAGGATATATGTATTTGCAGCGTTCACAAACACAAGATTTAGCTAAAGCACGAAAATATTTTGCTGATATTCTAAAAAAAAGAAAAAAAGGATAGTTTTGGGCTTTATTTCAATGCTGTTTATTTGTTTGAAATTGTATCAGCTATTTATTTTCCTGAAATAATGTTTGGAACTACAATATTCCTAACTGGTTTTGCCATCATATTCCAAGAAAGTCTAATCAATGCAAAGAGAAAATACAGATAGAGACTGGTTTGTTTTAAATATTGATGTTGCAAGGACTTTAGAGAAGTTTAAGTAAAAGTTATATCATATATCATGTGTGCATTGAACACAAATTGTGTGTCAAAACAAGCTTAAATTATGTAGGATGTCAGGGCTCACCTGTAGTCTATATACTGGGTCAGACTTCCTCCATTGAAATAGCTGGGTGCAGCCTCATTGTTCATCATGCTGAGAAACCTACAATTGGGAAAAGTGTACAGATGTTTAGTAGACAAAGAAGAGCGATGATGCTTTTAAACACAAACCAGTACGGCTACAGATGAAAACGGACTGGATTGGATAGGTGTGCAGCCTCACCTGATGCTGGGAAACTTTCGGCGGATCTCCTCCACGAACACGGGCAGGTTCTTGATCTTGTTCTTGTTGATGCACAGCGTGGTGACGCTGGGCATGTAAGGGAACTTGACGTGGGCGCTGTAGTTGTTGCAGTCCAGGATCAGCGTGCTGAGCCTCTCCAGGCGGCCCAACAGAGCCGGGTTCCAGTGAGGGCGGGGTGAAGGACAACACACTGACCGGCAGCTGCTTCAGCCTCTGCCCACATAGTGGGATGTCTCACACTAACTATCTGAATGCAAATGAACTCCAAATCAAAAAAAGATGGGTGTCAGGGTTTGGGAAGGTGGTGTGGTGAGGTGAGGGGAAGGATCCAGGTGTAAGGCCCGGGGAGGGAATCACAGGGAGGAAGCAGGGAACTCAAGAATGGAAGAAAAAATAGATTATTTACAAAAACAACAAAAAAACACAGCAGAAGCTACATTCAGAATAATCTACACCGTGAACCAAACCAAAAGACAATCTAGAACTAGCAAAACCATAGAAGGCACTGCGAGCAAGACCAGAACAGCCACTTAAAAAAAAAAAGACGACCAAGTTCTGACTAAAATTCTGACGAGGATCTGGCAAAGAGTGGTATGACTTTTAAAGAGGGGTGTGTGGTTGGTGAAATGAAAGCAGGTGAATGAGAAACACAGGTGCAGTGAGTTGAGAGCTAACAGGAAAATAAGGACCTGAGGGAGGTGAGGAAACTGAGAAACATAACCTAAAGACCACTGTGGTAAAACACAGGAAACCGAAACATGAGAAAAAGAAAAATAACTAAGAGACAAAACCAAGATTCAAGTCGGGACACTGGGATGACAGAAAATGCTTCTTAAAATGAGCTGAAATATGATCCTTCTGCATTAAGGCTGCATCATAGAGGGGAAAACTATAATGGGTTTATCATGTCTGTAAAAAGATAAAAGTCAATTCTCAAAAGCCACTGCTTAGGATATTTCCCTTCTGTTCTACAGTAAGCCACATTTTCACGGAGCCTGCATTTGGGTGGAATTCTCTGGACCGGATTTTTCCACATCACCTGACTCCCATCAGGAGTGCCCTGCTTTGACTTTGAATTTTTGCACCAGCCGATCAAACCCCCGAAAAGTAGCGTTTCTCTATGAACTCCACTGATCCAAGAAAATCAGCTAATGCTGTCTATGAGATTATTATTTGAAAAACCTTTACAATGGGAGTTAGCGGGACCAGCGAGAATAAAACAAAGCACATTATCGCCTTATAGGTAATTATGTCAAAATTGAAAAATCACTGAAAAAGCACTGAAAAATTAGATGTGACTTTATGCTGTAAAAGCTCTTTAATAACTGAATGCTTTATTGTGACCGCAAACTAGTTGACTACATTATCTGTTAGCTGCTGCCTTTCTAACAGGAAGTGCCCATTTGATTTATTCAAGCCTTTTCTTTGAAAACTACTCCTTGAAAGACAACTTCTCTGTTGGGCAGTATCCTTCAGCACGACAAACGATGATAATTATTCAATTCAATTCAATTCAATTTTATTTCTATAGCGCCACATCACAACAACAGTTGTCTCACAGCTTTCCAAACAGAGCAGGTCAGACCTACTCTGAAGTTAATTACAGAAACCCAACAATTCCCACCATGAGCAAGCACTAGGCGACACAGGCAAGGAAAAACTTCCTTTTAACAGGCAGAAACCTTGAGCAGAACCATGGCTCAGGGTGGGCGGCCATTATATAATTATAATGATAATGATAATGATAAGTACCCCAACAGTAGGGCGTATTGAAAAGGATACTCGTCCAGCAGGTTGTAGCTGAGGTCCAGCACCTCCAGGGTGTGGGTCTGTGTCAGGATGGGGTCATAAGGGATCTCTGACAGGCCCTGATAAGCAAAAGACAGCCACTGAAAACCCGGGGCGTGGCCGAAATGACTCTGCTGACCAGAGGGAGGATGATCCATGACTACAGGCCCAGCACTGTGACCCCTCTGCTCCTCCGGGCATTTACAGATTACGTCATGACCCTGAGAAAACAACAAAACAAAGCACGGTTAGCTCATCTTTAGCACGCATTTAGCAACGAGTCTCCATCAGTTTAACAGAAGACTGAGCAACATCAGAGTTTATTAAAACATATACTACAAACTATTCAACAAAAGGATACAAACCGTGGCACAGTCATTGACTTTTTTATTCTTCCAGCTGCAGAAAGACATGTAAGAGATTTCATCTCAACACAAACCATGCATGCAGTGTGTGTTTTATCACACAAAGTGCACCAAACTCCATCATGACACGATTGTTAAGTGTAAAATTGTGTCGCCTGGCTTTTCGTATGGGGAAAAGATCAGGAAATCTATTTAAAGGCCAACAACAAAACTACTGTTGGGTGACCTTTGAACTCTCAGGCAGCAGCAGAAACACAGGCCGCCAAACAGAAATGTGGCCAGAAGTATATTTCAGAGAGAGAAAGCCGTGTATAGATTCAATTTATTCAGCAAAAATAGACATAGATAAAAGTGAAATATAAAAACAGTTCAGAACATTAAAATAATGCTGATTTAACAGAATGGATCTGCATCATATTTGTTTATATTGTCTTAAATCAAAGAAGTCGATCAACGATGACAATGAAAATATTTCTCTAATCAAAATCAGATTTCCATAATTCAGTGACAAAACTTATTTTTGCAAATTAGAAAAAAAGATGTGTGTTTCACAGGGAAGCTGCTTTATTTAAAGAATTAAATATTTGAATCGAGCCCAGAATGATAAGCCACAGCAATAAAGAAACAGCTGGCTCCTGATCAGACTATTCAAATGAAAAACATCTGGCCTGTGGCTCTTCCCTGTCAAATCAAGCTTACATAATGCAAAATGCTCCATCTAAAAAGCAGAACATAAATAGGACATAAATAAAAACAAATCCAAGTCGTTAAAGAGCTTTTTATATTAAAAGCTGGAGTCTCAAACATGACAGACTAAGACAATCAACTGTTACATTGAAAGATAACTTTAAAGTAGAAATAAAACTTTTCAGAGAAAGCAGAACAATGGTTACCGACTATAATATTAAATGTGGTAACGGAAATATTTATTCTCAGAACAATAAAATTTCATTTCGTGTAAAAAGGAAACATCCATGGATTTTAGAATTATTCATAGCACATGGCAGTTATAAGCTAAATATGCAACTGACCATCAAAGAATGACTTCACATGCAGAAGACGGGGACTCAGAATGTGTCAAAACTGCAAACACTTTCCTCTGACTGAATTGCTAATTAAACACAAATGCTCATTCATTAAACATGTTCTTATTGAACAAACAAATATACATCAGGACAGATCACAAACATGCTTATCAGGTCAGTTAGAGCCGGACTCACCGAGATGTGGAGCAGCGACTGTGTCTTTTTTCTGCACGCAAACGTCTGAGAGGGTTTAGCGCCCGTATGAAAGGCCTCTTTCAGAGCACAGGGGCAGGTCACATGATGGGGATAATCACATTGCTGCTTAACCTTGTGGTTCAGACCCACTGGCCCTAATCAAAATAATGTAAAGTTGAATTCAAAAAAATGGGGCAACAACAGCAGCTCATAAGTGATTAAGATAAATGTCAAAAGTAAACCAGGTCTAAATGCATTTCCCATGGAAAACTTTCAATTCCTGCTTTTATATAGGTCAGTTGGACCTCAGAAGATGTGCATTTAATTCAGATTCCATTAAATAACTGCATTTAATTACGTCAGACCCTATTGTATGTAATTCAATCAACGCAAAGAAAAGCATCCTAGTCTGCAAATATTTCCTTGACATCTTCATTCAAGATTGATGCTTTAAAATTGAGATTTTATGTTGATTTTTTTCACTCCGTTTACGTGACAGTCAGACAATCTTGATTTCCCCAAGCACGCTAAAACTGAGAGTTTTACATGTTTTGTTAGCATGTTCTGTCCATGATAGGATAAACTTTTAATATTCCTGGAGCAAACATTTGCAGATAAATTCTCTGTGCTATCAGCATGCCTGTAATGGCTCAGAATATCTCCCTACTATTCCCCAAAAAGTCCACAATTCACAAAGGTACATTTTCCATGTTAGACACAGATCTTTACTCCACTACACATCACAGAATACAACATTTTTTGAGGAAAGATCATAAAAAACAAATCAGATTAAGAAGGTGTACAATGTAATGAAGTATAAATTAAAATGACACATTTCACAGGGCATGGGGTGTTATGCTGCAGAATCAGTGAGACACATTCAGCCTATTTTCAGCCCCTGACAGTTTTCATGAAGTCACATGATGGGATTAGTGGCTCCGTTTGAAACGAGTGAAAGACTGTAAATACTTATTTCAAATCTATTACTGAGCTTTGCACGGGCAGTAATACTTTCAGTGGTTAACTTAAGTGAGAACAAGCTGTAAACAAGGTGTCGGATCCTCTTTGGTAGAAGTGTGACCGCAGTTATAGGCCGGAAGCAGCCTGTGCACGGTGATTTCAGCCCGTGCACGGTGATTTCAGCCTGTGCACGGCGTGCTGCTGGTTTCAGCTTTTGGCCGAACAAACAAAGTGATGGCGTCTTCCGCTCCGGCAGTCCCTGATCTGCCACTTTGCCCTCCTCCACACCAGCACGCACTTTTTATTGCCCTTCCTTTTGGAGCGGGGGGGCGCCTTCCTCCAGTTGGTGTAGCTGACCGGCTGGCCTCCTGCCCACTCCCAGCGGCCTCGGCCCTCCCGGTCGTTCAGGCCTTAAAAGGTT